GCTGAGGCAGGAGAATTGCCTGAACCCAGGAGGCGGAGGTTGCGGTGAGCCAAGATCGCGCCATTGCACTCCAGCCTGGGTAACAAGAGTGAAACTCTGTCTCAAAAAAAAAAATAATAAAAAAAATAAAAAAATAAAATAAGATAAAATAAAATAAAAACAAAAACAACTCTTGAAGTACCTGCATAATCTGTAGTGCAGCCACAGGAAAGTCACTCTTCCTGGGCCTCAGTTTCCTCACCCATAAAGTAAGGGACATGGGACAACCCTGAAAAGGGCTCCTCTCATCCTCCCACCCTGCCTCCAGCTGCACTTGGCCCATCTGTGGCTCTTCCAATTTAACCTGGGTTCAGGGAGACCACACTTGAGGTTTGGTCATGAGCTCTTCCTTGGTACATTCCTTTCCCCACCCTAAGACTGATATTCTCAACTCAGAAACTTGTTTCTGTGTTTTCCACCGAACGTGAAATAGTGTTTGGCCCACAGTACACTGGTAAAGACAGGAGGATAGGCTCACCTACCGGAAACAAGAGCCATGCCAGGTTTCGTTGACAGTCCTGTACCATATCTGGCTTGGAGCAATGCGGTCCCCACAGCCTGGACACCTCCAGACATCTTCACCTGCACACAAAACCAAGAGGTTAAGAGGCCCAAAGTAGCAGGAGGCAAAGGGACAAGGTTCCTACCATGTAGAATAAGCCTGAGTTAATAGTATCTCATTTGAAAGGGGTAGGCCAATGGTCTGCTAGATGCACAGTTTCCTCCTCCACAAGATCTCTGGTAAGCATTTGTTCAACCTCTGCTCATCTCTCCAGCAACAAAGAACTCATGGCCTCAAAAGTAGTCTCATTCCATTTTCTAAAAATAGTTCTGATTATCCTTTTTTCTTTTTAGACAGAGTCTTACTCTGTGGCCCAGGCTGGAGTGCAGTGACACAATCTTGGCTCACTACAACCTCCGCTCCCTGGGTTTAAGCAATTTTCCACCTCGGCCTTCTGAGTGGCTAGGATTAAAATTTTCCGCCTGGGCCTCCCAAGTAGCTGGGATTACAGGTGCGTGCCACCATGCCCATCTAATTTTTTGTATTTTTAGTAGAGGTGGGATTTCACTATCTTGGCCAGGCTGGTCTTGAACTCCTGACCTTGTGATCCATCCGCCTCAGCCTCCCAAAGTGCTGAGATTACACACATGAGCCACCATGTCCGGCTGATTATCTTTTTTTCTACTGAAACAAAACTTGCCCTTTTCTACAACTTTCAGCCTTTGCTTATATCTCTGAGAAGAAATGAACACTTCTCCTTCCTTTCAGTGTCAGCCCTTCTTATGACCATTCCCAGCCAGCACCCAGAAACTTCTCCCCTCGGGGTTAAACAGGTTATTGCCTTTTCCTATTCCTCAAAAGCCCTGTTTTTTCAGATTTTTCCATCACTTATTTGTTCAACCAACATCGGTGGTCCTCTAGATAAGAGTCCCCAACCTTTTTGGCACCAGGGACTCATCTCGTAAAAAGCAATTTTGCCATGGACACGAGGCCGGGGGTTGGAGGGCAGGGGGATGGTTTTGGTATGAAACTGTTGCACCTCAGATCATCAGGCATTAGTGAGATTCTCAAAAGGAGCATGCTACCAAGGGCCCTTGCATGTGCAGTTCACAATAGGATTCACACTCCTATGAGAATCTAATGCCACCACTGATCTGACAGGAGGAGCTCAGGCAGCAATGCTCACTGGCCTGCCACTCACCTTCTGCTGTGCAGCCTGGTTCCTAACAGACCACAGACCAGTACCAGAAGGTGGTCCAGGGGCTGGGGACCCCTGCTCTAGATACAAAGCTCTTTGTATGTTGGAGGCTGTTAGATTACATAATCTCTGCTCCTTAAGAAGCAAATCCACTGTAAAAGAACCGATCTTTTATATTGTTAATTTTTCACTTTGATGTTATTTCAGAGATAGAACCAAAGTACTATTTTCGTTCAGAAAAAGAAAAGTAAATGGGTATAAAAAGGAAAGAACAAACATTCAATGAATGCCTCCTATATGTCAAGAACTCTGCTAGGCACTTTCATAGACCTAATCTCATTTAATTCTCAAAACAATCCTGTGAGACAGGTATTATTATATTCACTTAATGGGTAGGAAAATTAAAACTTGGGGCGAGGGGCTGGGTTGACTGTCTAAGTGATGGATCTAGCATTCAAACTCAGGTCTGGCTCATTCTAAAGCTTCTGCTCTTTTCACTCTACCATGTCAATTCTTGTTCACTCCAGCGAGGGGAACCAGGAAAGCCTTTGTAGACGAAGCTGACACTAGAGCTGAGCCTTGCAAGATAGGGAAGATTTACCTACCAGTGGCTAAGAAAGGAGGGTGAAGTGTTGTGCGAACTGAGGGACCAGAATAGACAAAGGCACAGAGTCAGTCCATGTTTCTCCAAAAGAGAAGGGCCCCAAACAAAATGTAATACTCCTGGTATGGCTCAGATGCCAACTTCTTGAAATAAAGAGGACAGCTGAGATCAAGCTGTGGTACCTGACTCAGCCCTAGAAAGCAGGACAAAGTTGTTACAAGACTCCCTTGTGCGTTCTGTGTATGCAGCTTTGTTCTCTCTGGGTAACTCCAGACTGCCACAGGCACAGTGACAGTCACCGAACCCTGTTTCACAGGCACAGGGCCATGAATAGACAAAGCAAAGCTCCCGGCATTTCAAGATTGCCCAACACTATTCTGGAGCGGCCAATGCACATAGTTGTCCTCCTTGTACCCTAGAGGAGAGTTAAACAAGCTGGCAGAAGGCTTTAAAACACCACCTCAACCCACCTATTCCTCTCTTCTCATGCCTCAGTAAAAGGACATATATGTGCCCATCATCATTCTTCCTGGGTCTAAAATCCTCAGATTCCTTGTCAAGAGGGGCCTTTTTAGTTTTTGGGTAGCAGTGGTCAGAGAGTATGCCATCACTCCCACAAACTCCAAGGTGGAAAGTCTGAAAGACTCATTCAAACCAATCCCAGGTTAAGTTATGGACAGTGGGCAAGACAATGAATTAGTGAGAGATTTTAATGAACACAAACATCCAAATGAATCTTCCAAGTTTTAGAAATATTTTTGGAAGTCTTACATGTCAGAGCTTTCAGGGTCAGTTTATGAGCTGCTGTGCCCCACCCCCAACAAATCTCATTATTTTAGAACCGCACCTTGTTTCTTGTTTTTACTTTTTAACCCAAAAGGAATAGTCTCTAACCTGACCACCCACTTACTCAACCATTCAAAGTCTCGGCTCTGAATGGCTTCTACTTCCACAATTTAAACAAAATCAGGACTTTCCACTATGAGGATATTCAAAATAACTTGTTATTGCCACACCCTCCTGAGCTTGCCTGGCTTTCTCCAGTCTTGAGAAACTCAAAGACATTCAATCAACACTTACTTTAGTACCTGCTCTGGATTAAGCATGAAAGACCCAAAATCAAGACCTTTTACTCTCTCCTCTCATATTCACCTGGTTTCACTTTCCAAATGTCTCTCTAGTCCTTCCTCGACCTTCACTGCAGTTCTATTTCAGATCTTTGGCTTCTTTTCCCTACCTACTGTATTCTTAGCTGCCTCATATATACTGCAAGCTATCTCAGTTCCAGGTTAGGCTCCCCAGTGTCCACAGAACAAAGGCTGGGCTACTCAGTATGACACCCTTGTTTTGGATCCCATTCCATCTTACTTTTTCAGTTATGTTTATGGCACCCTTCTCCCTCACTGGTTCCTCATTATCATTTAAATAAGTTCAAGTCACTGCCATAAAAAAAACCTCTGGTACTCTTGCTTCAGTAGCATATATATTAAAACTGAAATGAGACAGGGGAGATTAGCATGGCCCCTGTGCAAGGATGACATGTAAATTCATGAAGTGTTCCATATATTAAATCTAATTTAAAAAAAAAAAAAAAAGAATAAGAGAAAACCTCTGGATCCCATTTCGTTTGTGTGGCTGTGAAGGGGAAGAACCTTTGTTTCTCCCCTTCATAGCCACACATGTGAAAAAGTTGTCTTGGGAGGCTGAGGTGGGTGGATCACTTGAGGTCAGGAGTTCAAGACCAGCCTGGCCAACATGGTGAAACCCCGCCTCTACTAAAAATACAAAAATTAGTCAGGCATGGTGGTGCATGGCTATAATCCCAGTTACTCAGGAGGCTGAGGCAGGAGAATTGCTTGAACCCGGGAGACGGTGGTTGTGGTGAGCTGAGACTTCAGCCTGGGCAACAAGAGCAAAACTCCATCTCAATTAAAAAAAAAAAAAAAAAAGAAAGAAAGAAAAAGTTGTCTACACATCACTGCCCTCATTTCCTCACTTCCCACTTTCTGCATAATGTACTGCAATCTGGCTTCCACCCCCACCATTTCGCTGAAACAGTCTCACCAAGGTCAACAGTAACAGTAACAGCTTATTGCTAAATTCAATGGACCCGCTTCAGTCATTCTTTCAGCAAATATTTATTGCATGCCAACTATGCATCCTAATACTGTGTTGGAGAAAAAGGAGCCAACAAAAGAGAGATTAAACACAAAGCAAATATTAAACAATAATATAATTATAATTGGGGCAAATGGTATGAAGATATCAAGTTCTTAACTAGGAAAACAAGGGTGAGAAAACTACTCCTTGAGGAAGTAATTTCCAAGCTTAGCTCTAAAGAATGAATACAAATTAACTGGGCAAAAAAGGGGGAAGGAAGGATAACATTGGAGAGGAGGGACATGTGTGAAAGCCCTGGGGCAGGAACAAAAATTTCTCACATGCATCATTAAATTTGGCTATTGCTCCTCCAAAGGACTAGCAAACCATGTCTGGCCCCTGGTCTGCTACAATCTTTAAATAAACAATTATTGAAAGAGCAAATGGTCCTTACAATGTGGTCCCAAAGGACCCTTCTGGCTCATCATTCCTTACAAAAGAACGCTCTAGTTACATTTTGACCTATTTTCTATTCCTGCCACTTAT